CGAAGTAATACTGCGGAATCAACTTTGCCAACAACGAGGATCTGTTCTTGATATTATCGAGAAGATTCGCCAGCGAGAAAATATATGACCAGGTATTGAGGAAGTACGCGACAGCGTTAGCACAGTTGATGAAAATATACAAAAGTGTATAAAATAATAACCATAATTGAAGCGATTGCAGTTTTTGTTCTAGGTAAAGAAAAATTGTTGAAAAAATATATTGACCTAATTTTTCCGATTAAACAACGTTTTACCGTTATGTACCTGTTCACGGGCTGTGACTGAACTAAGGCGAGCGTGGGAAACGAATCCGTATGCGAGAATCTGGTATATTTGAATTATTAGGATGAGAGGATGTACAATGACCAGTTTTGCAATATGTGTCATGTGATGAACAATGGTCTGTTCTACCAACTGTAAATCAATCCGCGAGAGAACGTGCAATAGAAATACCAAAAGGCGCAAGAAAAAAAAAACAGATTTACTTGCGTCGTTAGACAGTATAGTCCAGCTGCGTTCGGCTGTAATCTTCGTGCAATATCAGCGCTTTTATATATTAAGATTCATTGGCGGTCAAAGCGAGATGAAATTGTACAAATAGTCGAGGATGAACAAAACCGTCGGTGCATCACAGCCGCTATCGTTGCTGAAGCAGCTACACATGTTCACCAAAGAAAAGTTCTCTAACTCAAGTTGTATAAGCGCTCAAGTGTGAATGACAGTTGATTCTCCAAAGTGTATATAACCCAAACAGAGACAATGTAATGCTTTTATGAAATAGTGAATATTGTGGCACGTTACATCACATGGGTGAGACAGCTACGGCGCCCAGAGTCATGTTTGATATTGTTCTCAACGTGGAATTTCCCAGGACTGGTCATATAACCAAAGATGGCTTTGCAAAATCTATAATTCCACAGTCATGGTTTCATAGTGTTGCCTAAGTTTACGTGAGTAATAAAGTAAATGAGGCAATCATTGATGAAATGGATGGTAGTCAGACATAAATCCTCAAAAAGGTTTGAGAAATTATTCCGTAGGAGGTTCGGGGTCAATGCTTTCCAGACGCGGTTCGGGGTGGATTCTTTCCAGATTCTAGGAGGTTTGAATTAATAGTGTCCATTATAAACCTTTCCTTTAGATCGAATTACATCGCAATAAAAATGTATTTTCTACAAATCGGTCAGTGATCAATGTGGAAAATTATGACAATAAATGCTTAAAATGTGATCCCTTCATTGCGTTTCATTCCACGAGAGTTAATAACGTTTAAAGTCGAAAATACAAATAGAACATTGAGAACTTCAGTTTCATAATTCCTTATACAATTTGCTGATGTGTGAAGGGCTTAATCTTGCCATAAAGACCATTGTGAAAGCGCGTGAACTAATTTCGATTTGCTGTTTTTGAGCGACACGGATGAAAAGGTGGTGTAATATCAATAGGGGTGGATACAAATCACGAATAGTCATTTAACATATGAGTAAAATTTAGCAAGCAGATTTTGCATCCATGTGTATATCGCGCAACAAATGTTCACTGACCATGAATGTTTATGTGACAGATTCAATGAGAATCAACAGTGGACAGTAATGCCTAAAGCTGGTAAAAACATTTTGGAATGTATAGCGGTGCAACGAATAATTAATGTACTATACGTGCTTGGGTCATCGGCTGACGATCGACCATATTATGATCTTTCCCAATAATTTTAGGGAAGCACCTCAGTCATCGCCAATAAACAAATCATCTACTATTAATGTCTTGTCCACAATTGAAGAAATTCCTAACATTGACGACATAGATTCGAGTGTGAATAATCTTATCGTGTAACACGATGCGATGATTGCACTTGAAGTCAACCCCTAAAACATATTTTTAACTAGGTTGTCACAAAATAACAGATATTGTGTATATAGCACTACCATCAGCACAAGTGCTTAAACTGATTCGTGACAACTGCAACTTGTTGATATTTCGTGACATCGACGCACACAGTTTCATAAACCTTCATTGGACTTTTGGTGTGCTGCCGACTACTCGTGGGATGAATGTCGGAATATATTGGCAGAGGACATACTGAACCTGTATAATCTCTTCACTATTAACTAGATTTGATCCTCTGGCTTTACTGGGGGAAAGTCTTCTGGTTCATGATTCAAGTGTCTGACACAAACATGTCTGAAAAACAATTTATCAGCCACAATAAGCATATGCAACGACGAAATCTGCCAGAGATGATATAGCAGAGACAACTGACCGCACCTCCATGTGTGATCAACAGGAACATCTTAGAGAGTAAATGGATCAAGCAGATGTATTAATCGATATATAGCAATAGCAAAAGACTGCTCTGAAATACCCCAGTTCAGGTTCCAAACGAACAGTTGCAGTACTGTTTAAGACAATAAGATTATCTAGTCAAGGCAACGCAAGCTGCGAAACAAGCAAATAAAGTCTCGATCACCACTGACGCGATGATTTGGAAAAGAAAAGACAGCCTGGTCAGGCTTGCGTCAGAATATTAAAATGAAATATAAAACGGTTAGAAAAATTACAACTGGAAGATGGAGAGACAATTCCAGAAAATAGTCTTGCAAATCAAACATCGATCCATGTTTTTAAAGATGTTCTAAAGAGAGACAGCAGATAACCTTTAATAATACCCTAGAATTTTACTCAGATGCGATGAATATATATTGTGGCATACATTATACCAACGTACAAGCCCGCATCGTGTTAAAAAGAAATGGCGAAAATGGGTGTTTCGAGAGTGTTTTGAACGAGATAACTTGCTGACCTATTTCAAAATGTATGGGAAAGATTTTAAAAAGATATTTAATGAATTTAGAGATTCGAAGGAAAAATCAGTGCGCCTTAATGGGATGCTATTAGTGTAAAAACATAAAAACATCTTGCGACAACCCTGTTGGTCTAGTCTTTTTCCGGAGCAGTCACAAAAAGATGATGTACATCCAAACGAATACGATTTTATCTCCACTGGAAAGTATCCGCCTACAGGAATCACCCAAACGTGAAAATACACATCTCAGTGACCTCAGACATGGAACATTACGGTTCACATGCATTATGAATAACCGATGAGTAAAGTAGTGGGTCGTCTGGAAAAACTCTCTGGATTAGTTCGTGCGAGTAACAACGTACTAGATGTCATAAATGAGGCTGCTCCGGATTGTCAACGGCTGCTCAACAACGGCATCATGGTTCCGGGGACGAGTAGCTTGTTAATGAATAGTTCTAAAGCTATTAAAACAATTTGTTTTAGACGAAGTCTGTGTCATGAAGCAGCGCATTGTACACGTACAATCTTATGAATCACAATAACACTTTATTTTTATTCGTCCATAGCAGCATGTGTAGGGTTGTATTAATGTAATCTATGAATGTATCTATCCTTGCTGCAAATGTATCTATCCTTGTGTTCGCGTAGTAATATGATTATAATGTTTTGTATGCACATCATGGATGACCTTTTCACTACTTTCTTCACTTTTTCCTGGTTTTAATCGTAACTGCGCCAATATCACCCTTTCGACCCATGACTTAATTTCTTTTAAATTTGGGATAATTAATTGTTGATGAAGGGCGTCATTTTAAATTAGTGTCTAATTCTTCGGTTAAAAGTTTTCTCGCTTCACTCTTACGATGGAGAATTGATTATAAACATTTTTGGCATTGAATCAGTCACTCGCGTTGCACAACGTCTGCTGTACATTTAGACTAATTGACATCACTCAGTCCAAAATAGAAATATTGGCATCCCATATACCAAAACTCTTTATATTATAAAAGTGCACAGTTCATCAAATGTACCACATTGGATAAAGATAACGGTTTACCTTTATATTATAAACAATGCCGTTCGTCGTAGATGAAGATGGTCGCAGAGAAAGCATAGAAGCAAGAGGTCTTTTATGTATGCCTTGCCTTCATAATACTTTGTCATATATATTACGGCAGTGGCAGTGGTAGTAACCATGGGCATAACTATCGTCCTAGTTGTCATCGTCATATCCGCTTCTTCAAACGGTCTTCATCAAATGTTTAGGACGCATCATGAAGTGGGTGCCACCGTTTCATCCACAGCTTCTCGGATAGTTGTTTTTGTAAACATTGCGATAAAGTTTGTCTAATAGTGAATTTCCATTTGTTTCAAATAGAGACTTTTTATTAAACTGAGGTATATCGTATTGGAAGCAATTTTTGCGATTTACTGGAACATAGTTGCAAACTCGTACCCGCAACGCTAAAGGTATGTAATGAAAACGCTTTTTGAAAGTATCCATGAGATTTCTAAAACACTGTTGGTATGAAAGAGTAAATGTAGTGATTGCACTATGACCACTGAGCGTGTTTGTTTCTAGGTTAATAGTTATGTTCACACAGATGCAGTTTCATGCCACAACTCAAAGACTATATGTTATCTAATTCTATCCGGTAATGATATCCTGTTCTACCCAATGATTTGGTACAGATCGGTTTCACATTAGCATGATAAAAGAATGGCGGAGTGTAATATAGTTGGTGATTTGAACGAAATCGAGTGTCTTTGTAATTTTCTATCATACAATCTTCTTGTCGGAGTTTGGTGTCTTTCAGTATATTGATCTATTTAATGTACTGACTAGGAAACGTTAAGTCTTATATTTTGTGCATAAGTTGGTGTAGAGATAATATATACCTCATGAACAAATGAACATGAGATGATTTAGGCAAAAACCCGTCTTGCTTCAACATATGTGATGTAATTATGATTTTTAACGTAACTTTAACAATTTTTCAGTCATATCACTACTATGTATGCAGTGTGGCAGTTTAAAGTGATGTCTAGCACTGGGTCATCATGCCGCAGACATGTAGCATGATGTCAGTCCCTGTCACATTATCTTGACACCTGGCCACCCAGTCCTAACACCAACCTCTCAATGCTGAGCGTCAAGCGAGGCAGCTGTTAGTACCATTTTTGTAAGTCTTTGGTATGACTCGACCGAGGATCGAACCCATGACTTTCCGCATCCGAGGCGGACGATCTAACCACTTGGCCACCGGAACGGTGCTATAATACACTAAAATCAAGTCTTGTATAAGTTGGTGTTGAGCTAATATTCATCATGAATATTATGAGAATATGTTGGCAAAATCTCGTCTTGCTTCAAGATACTAAACTTTCGTCTTGCCTCATTGAACTAAAATCCCGTCTTGTTTCTTTGAACTGAAATCCAATCTTGTTTCTTTGAACTGCATGTATTCCAGATCGTGTCTCTCCAATGATCGATACCATCATTTGAATTATAGTTTCTTTTTTCGTTTTGTGATTCCATGATGGATAGTCGTAGGCCCTTGTGACTGATTTCCACACTCATCCATCTTCTTAATGTCGTCGTTTTTTCGTCGTGATTCTACGGTTAGCTTTCATTACACGTTTCAGTATACATACGATATAATGACGAAGCAACACGGGATATCACAAGTCCATGGGTGGAAGAACAATATATTTGATTAGTCTTTCGTATTGAAATCCTGGGTTCCACAGCAATGTTTTATGTCTTAAAGGTGGTATGGTGCAATGAAAATCAAGAATACTTGCAGATGCGTGACTAAAACTAAGATACATCTATATACATGGCCGTTTATATTTGAAATTGGTACGACAGTGGTCTATTGCTGGTCCATCATCTATACAAATGACCGTGAGAATCACAATATTCGATGCCTACCACATCGAATCTCTGGTTCTGTTCCAGACGTCTAACCAACTCGTGCTCTCACATTGCTACCACAAGGTAGCCTTAAGCTTCTAACTGGTTGTTTCGGACAAATTTTCCATAGTTAATTTTGTTGTCAGATGTTTTGATTCATGATCAGGATAACATGTCAAATTTTGTCATTAACAGCTATGAAATTCTTAAACAATCTGTGGGCGTTCGAAATCATAACGATAAATGAAGTAGGGAACAAGCGTCGTTTCTCTACTGTTTTTTTGGCATATTGGATCTAATAGCATTGAACTGTACATAAGTTGCATAACTAAATCAAAGCCTTGACAGAATTCCTACGTACATGAAAACGCATTCTTTGAAAATGGTATCGACTTCTTTCAAAGGCATGTAAGCTCAGTGCAAAAGATACAATTGTCCACATTTTTCACAAGTCCATAAAGTCACTATCAGAAATAATACAAAGAGCGTCCTCATGCCATGCCCGGAAAGCTTTCTGCTCGCATCACGCGTGAGTCGTATTATTATACATCGGGCAACTGAGAGAGTCAGACACTTTAATTTTTTTTTTTTAATTTTAATTTTAATTTTTTTAATTTGAAATGTTAGCAAATGAGAATCCGTTCAATTGTTCCAAATGTTGCAAGAATCTCCCTCAAAGTTATGGACAGTCACTCTGGGAATCACTAAACAATACCGCTCGTATTATCATTTATATGATTTGTGCTCCATTATAGTGACTTGGTGTAATTTTTTCTGGAACATGTTTAGATGGAAACTCCGGCATACTCAGAAGAAATGTAAATCATCACTGTAGCCTTTCAGTGATAATTGCCGAAACAATTAGCATATTCTCTGTGATAGTAACCTATATTACTCTGTGCTCTTTCACTGTACTCTATTTTGGACAAGGCCACGAAGATACATTGTTAAGAGTAGTTTGCCCATGAATGTTTTTCTCGTGCGTACCAAAGTGCGAGATAATTTCAACAATGATAAAATATATTCCCTGAATACATTTACTGCAAGTTTGATGAGCGTATACGTCATCCACGTCGTCGTTAACTTTGATCATACTGTTTTAAGAGTAAGGAAATAATCTCCAGATAAGACGTTTGGAAAACTGTCATAATTTGCCTGAATGAAGTGAAATAGTCATTCGTAATGTCAACTTCTGTCTCTAATGTCCAATTTGTCGTTAAATTTATGTACGTGTTGATTATGTGGATGATATTTGTATATTTAAGTTACATTGTTAATTTTTTTATTCATTATATGCTATGAATATTTGGGTTTTGGAATTAACATTGACTATTAGATTATTGTTTTGACCTGAGTCAAGAACAATGGATTTATCATGTTATTATTATAATCTTAGTAACAGACTTTCAAATTATAACTAAGCTTTTCTTGGTCAGAAATTAAATTTTGTCCTATTTCACGGCTCTGTATAAGTCTTATTTTTCGTGCTGTAAAGTCTGAGAAGAATCGTTTATATCATTGTCATATCCATCGTTTCATTTGTGCTGGTATTTATTTATTCAAATTATTTATTCACTGGAAATGCAAAGTGCTCATCAAAATATGATAGTCTAGGATTCGTAGTGAAATTTAAATATGGTTATATTCATGGATTGTATCATTATGAGTCATCAAATGACTGATGACACATTACTACGTCACGGGCCATCACAGGCACATCAACACTTTCAGCGTTTGATTTAAGTTTTGGATTGCCACTAAAATTGATTTAAAATGTTTACTCATTAATTTTTATGTCAGTAATTCTGCGATTATTTAGGATTTAATTCGCAATATCGTAAGTTGTCTTACATATTTTCAGTTTGTATTCTAGATAAATCAATTATTTATTTTAATTTTACAAAGCCTTTCTTCTCAGTCCTTCCTAGCACATTTTAGGACCATAGCTACTTAATGTCTTAAAATCTGACAATTCAGAGGATTGCTAAAGACCATCAAATACGTGATAAGAGGTCACAAACAGTCTTAATTTTCAGTTCAATACTTTCACTTCGACTCTACCAAGGTAGACCCCGATAAGTCTATTTTAAAAACGATCAATTGTTTTGTAAGGCCGTGGGGCATAAACTGTCAGTAACTGACAGTGTAAACGTAGAAAGCTGTTCTTAAATTTATTGAAGTTATATTATGTAGAATGAATTAACAAATCATTCTAAGTAACAACTGCTTGGTTTACATTCTCAGATGATCTTATTGTCTCAGTCGAGCAAAAACCGATAGTTATGCATAGGACTCGAAATGGTATCGTCATGATAATTAGGTTATGCCTAGGACTCGAATTGGTATCGTCATGAAAACTAGGTTATGCATAGGACTCTATCTACCTACCTACCTACCTATCTATCTATCCATATATATATATATATATATATATATATATATATATATATATATATATATATATATATATATATATATATATATATATATATATATCTGAGTATTTATCTATGTCTCTATCTATTCAAATATTTAAATGTCGGTCAAGCTCGAACATTATATCTTTTCTTTGTCATATAATTTCTTTCAAATTATTGTTTTAATTAATAAATATTAAAGTCAAAAAATGATATAATAAATTTACATTCGCTTGAAATCTACTATATCTTTACGTTTTCTAGGAATTGTTTCACATAAAAAGTATTCACCCTTCATATCCAAGCATCCTGCAAAATACGTCTGCATTTGCGTGATCAAAGTAATGTTCACAGACTGTACCCCAGGTTCCGTTGAATAGGATCTCAATGAAGCCATTACTAGCCATGTATCCACCAACCAGTCTGACTTGAGTTCCTGTCACAATTAAAAGAAGGTATGGTTGATTTCCAAATTTGAGTCTGTATGATATCCATAAAAAATTTCAACATCAAATCTCTTTGAACTGTCTGTTGTATTTGTAGTGCAATATATATTTTAATGTTAAGCAGCTAAACGAAATGCTAAAACTTTCGATTAAGCTGGGCATAAGCAGGTAGGTAACGAGGGGCATTGAATAAATTGAATCAATATAATATTCCACGAAATAGCAATGCTTAGAAGATCCTCCTGAATTTGAAGTGGGATTGAGGCGTTAAAAGCTACAAATATGGAAAATGATAAATTATATTAACCGTTGTGTTACATAAAACAATTAACTTTTGACTGTTTATTAATATAGTATGGATGACGCTGAATTATTACATATACACGGTTTACTTTTAAAGTAGACAAGATCCAAATCTAGTAGTATAGAGGTCATTGGGGTCGACCAGCTGACATAGTACATAAAAACATTCTTATTCTTGTAAAGACCCCCCCCATCCCCATGCCCCAGCAAATTTAAATATTACAAATAAGATCGGAATCAATTTCCTTCAAGTTTCTTTACTTGAAAACTAAGAGTTTCAGGATGAAAAAGATATGATGATTGCCTGCGTCCTAACGCATGATATTATGGTCAAGTTTAACAAGTAGATTGTGGGAAATTACTGAATAAATCGGAAAGCCTTAACACCGTCCCAACGTCATGAAAGTAGCAAATGAGGCTGATTCCATAGAGTTTCTATTATATTTAGATTCTCATAATGCTAACACCTATAACAACAGATAAATTCCTACAAAGTTATATAACATTTTCAATTATGTAATATTTACACAACCGACAAATATATAATGCGTACTTAAATGCCTTATGGATAAAGAATTGAAAACAAGAGATATGCACAGACTTTTTTTCAGGTAAACTATAAATAACGGATTCTGAGAATCTCCGGTATTTATTCATTTTTATGTATATTAGATCATTATATGTAATCTGTCTATTGTATTGAAGATTTGATAAATAAGACTAAAACTAGCCAACTAAAAATACCCCTCCCAAAAAAAATCACGAAAGCAAACAAATACTCGGAAAACACAATGTAAAGTTTTAGACTATTAAGGCGTCTGATAAGCAAATAAAACAAAATTGTATGAATTAAGAACTATAAAAAAAAGTGTTACGATTTCCAAAAGTGACGTCTTTCTTGTACATGACTTGTTTGACCATCTGTTTTTTGACATTCTGATTGCAAAATATACAATAATATTGTCACTCAGTGCTCCAAAAACTTTTACAAGGTACAAAATCTGTTTAATAAAACTAAGAGTCCGACTAGTAATGTTATGAGAAGATGTGTATGGACGTTTTAAAGGGGAAGATTATTGAGTGTTTCTGTAAGGTTCTTTATACGATCTCTCTTTGGGGTTGGATAAAAATGTAGAAACGAAAACAATCAGTTAGCCAATATATATGCCAACAAAACAAAATTCTTT